GTGGAACGTAAGGAGTTTAAACACAGCAGGAGGGCTAAAATCGGTCGCGAATGAGGTAAATGGGTACAATTTGGATGTCGTGGCTCTGCAAGAGGTTCGCTGGCCAGGGGAGGGCTCGATGAGGGAAGGAAAATACACTATTTGGTACGGAGGAAGCGGGAATCATTGTTTGGGTACCGGGTTTCTAATTAGGAGTAGATTACTATCCGCTTTGAGGGACGTACAATTCATTAGTGATAGAATTTCGGTAGCTACATTTCAGGGACGTTGGTTTAAAATCGCATTAATAAACATACATTGTCCGACCGAAGACAGTGACGATGAAGTCAAAAGTGAATTTTACGATAAACTCGAATGGGTTTATGATAAACTACCGCGAAACTACATGAAAATAATTGTAGGTGACGCGAACGCAAAGGTAGGAAGGGAAGAAGTTTATATTCCGACGATTGGTAAAGAAAGTTTGCACGAATATAGTAATGATAATGGGATCCGTCTGATAAACTTTGCCATCTCGAAAAACCTGATAATTAAAAGTACGACGTTTAAACATAAGGATATTCATAAATATACTTGGACATCACCGGATTCGCAAACACGAAATCAAATCGATCATGTCTTGATACAACACAGCTGGCAAAGCAGTATAATTAATGTACGGTCTTATCGCGGAGCAGAATGTGGGTCGGATCATGAATTAGTAATCGCGAAACTTCGACAAAAACTTAATATAAAAAAGAGAAAAGAAAACCGTTTCAATTTTGAGAATTTTAATTTGGAAAAATTAAAAAATCCATCAATTAGAAACCAATTCGAGCTAGATGTTAAGAATAGGTTTGAAGCTTTAGAGCTTCCTGACGAGGACCACGAGGATATTGACAAGTTATGGATAGAGATCAGGGATAATATTAAAGCGGTCGGTAACTCGTGTCTAGGAAAAAAGGAAAATAAGAATAACAAGCCGTGGTTTGATGAAGATTGCTTAAACATGTGTGAAAAAAGAAAAGCCGCTAAATTAAAAGCTCTAAATAATCCTAGTGAAGACAATCTGGAATACTTCCGAATCTCAAAGAACGAAACGACAAAATTGCTCAAAAATAAAAAAAGGGAGTATCTTAAAAATAAAATAATTGAAATAGAAACTAATAGAATCGAAAAGAACGTAAGAGACATGTACAAAGGTATAAACAGATCACGTAAATATGTAGGGCCCATAACGTCTGGAATTAGGGATGATAATAACAATATTCTGACCGATCCGGTTGACATATTGAATAAGTTTAAGGACCACTTTGACAATATTTTAAATGCGGGAAATTGTGATCTGTGTCCTCCTTCTGAGTACCAGAGTGCTGAACCGTTAATAGAAGGACCAAGTAAAGAGGAAGTTGAAGTAGCTATCGGAAAATTAAAATCATATAAAGCAGCGGGAATCGATAATATTCCTACTGAACTAATTAAGGCATGCGGGGAAGCTGGAGTTTCTAAAATACATCGGTTGGTTGAAAAAATCTGGGTGAACGAGAAATTACCTGAAGAATGGAAAGAATCTATTCTTATTCCGATTCACAAAAAGGGTCCGAGGACGGATTGTAATAACTATCGAGGAATTTCACTCCTTCCGGTATGTTATAAAATATTCACTTTAATCTTAACCAGTCGAATCACGGAATACGCCGAGGAAATTATCGGAGACTACCAATGCGGATTTAGACGGAATCGTTCGACAATTGATCAAATATTTTCTTTACGGCAAATATTAGAGAAAAAATTGGAGTATAACGGTATTGTTCACCAGCTGTATATAGATTTTAAAAAGGCTTACGATTCTATTGACCGCCAGAAACTGTATAATATTCTAATCGACCAGGGGATTCCAAAAAAACTAGTAAATCTAGTCAGGATGTGCTTGACGGAGACACTCAATAAAGTTAGAATCGGTAATAATTTGTCCGAAAAATTTGAGGTTCGTTCGGGCTTAAAACAGGGCGATTCTCTTTCGCCTGTCCTGTTCAATTTGGCATTAGAACATGCCATTAGGGAGGTAATGCGAACCGAGAAAGGGTTGGATCTGGGCGGGACAACATCCGTGCTGGGCTATGCTGATGATTTGGTACTGTTAAGCGAAGACGTTGAAACTATAAAACTAAATACGACAACGTTAATGAAAGCCGGGAAAGAACTAGGACTCGAAATAAACGAGGATAAAACAAAATATATGGTTAGCTGCAAAAATGGCGATACTACTGGTGACATCGATATAGATGGTAATATGTTTGAACAGGTAGATAAATTTAGGTATCTAGGGTCAACGATAACTAGAAAAAACGAAATTGAAGAAGAGATTAAGGTTAGACTGAAGGCGGGAAATGCTTGTTATTTTTCTGTGACAAAACTACTTAGTTCGCGCCTCTTGTCCCGGAACTTAAAAATTAGAATCTATAAAACAATTATCTTGCCTACAGTTCTCTATGGATGCGAAACTTGGCCGCTTACATTAAGGGATGAGCAGCGTCTTAAGGTTTTTGAAAATAAAGTATTGCGTAGAATATTCGGACCGAAGAAGGATGAGTTAACCGGAGAGTTCAGACGGTTACACAACGCCGAATTGCGTGAGCTGTATCCGGGTAATATAATTGATGTAATTTCATCGCGGCGAATCAAATGGGCTTGTAAAGTTGTTGGGCTTAGTAACGAGAGAATTCCTAAAAGGTTAATATTTGCTGTGCCGAATGGTAAGCGTCCGAGGGGTAGACCGAAGCGAAGGTGGGAAGATTGCATTAAAGCCGATATGAAGGGACTGGGTTTGGACGGCGAACGGTGGAGGGAGGTGTGTAACAAGCGATTGGTGGTGTCGGCATCGAACCTTCGGGTTCGCTAAGCCTTATTATTATTATTATTATTATATTATTAAAGGTCACCACAAAATTCTTTACCATACTTTCATTACCAACGGTTTGGCTTCTTGCGCCATTTTCAAATTTTATTTATAATATTAAATTTATAAAATTAAATTAATAAAATGAATAAAAAAAACACTCATGTCTACTTATATTATAAAGTTATCCTATTATAGAAATCGAATGAAAAAATACTTCAGAATGTATATCAGCTTTTGTCATGATATTACAAATATTGAATTCCAAAAATATTTACTGCCATAAAAACTCTCCATTTCTACAGGACGTCAAGTGGCAGTGACAAATGTTTCGTAATTCACCATGGGCTACTCTCCCACATGAAAAACTATGGGTTTAAATTATGTATTAATCATACTTTTAGGGATGATATTCCTCAGCATTAATTATTGCTGTATATTTAATAAACTCATATCATAAGACGTAATACAGCCAACACATTTTTTTCAATCTCAAGAAATGCTTAAATTACAATTTAAAAACTGATCGACACTAGATGTAATATTAAAAAACTGATCCAAACTTATAAAATCATATTCTCAAATTACAATTTACTGGCAGATAAACACAAAATTAAAAGACTGGTTAGAACTTATGAAATAATATCTCATTTCCTATCCAGTACTACTGACAAATAATAGACGCAAATTTCATAAGCAGTGAGTCCAATATAAAAGTAAAAAAAAAATAATAAGCCAAAACATTAAATTAAGAGTCCGTAAGTAAATTTTATCCATTAGTTCAATAATGGGTCGTGAAAACGTATTTTATGATTTGTAATTTTGATGGAGCGTAATTAAAGTCTCTCTTTAACAGCACTTAAAAGATTCTGACATTCAAAACTTTTCAATTAAATATATAGAACTATGGCAAAAGTTGGATTAAATTTATATGGGAAGGTAATGAAGCTATAAATTTAACAAAGCTATAAATTTATTCAATTGAAGCATTATCAATTATTTTTTCAAAACCCCAGAGGTAATGTAATATTTTCATTTCTGAAAAATGAATTCCATTAAACAAAAATATTACAAAAAATTAAAGAAAGCAAGATGGGATTAGAGTATTAACAAATGGAGGAGAAGGACCAATAAAGAACTGCCTATGATCTATTTATACGAAGACAATAAGCTTAACATGAACTGGGAATGTAGCTCAGAGCAATTTATTGGTAAGTCTGTTCATAACAAATGAGAGACAACGTGGAAAGCCAAAAACAGATGGATAGATCGACACAATAAACATGAAGTAAAGCTGGGTGGAAATAGCTCAGGATAGGCGGGAAAGGTTGAAAATCTGGTTGAATCAGCAAAACATCCATTGTACAAGATCTGTAAATCAACGGCTTAAAAAACAGTAATGAAGAAAAAATGTATATATTTATAAACTTACACTTCTTCTTAGAGACTTCGGTGTTTAAACTTTTAGTATCTTTTGTTTTAATTATTTTGATATCTTATTATATTTAAGGCAGTTATAAAATACTTCCCGTCATTCATGTGCGTGAATATTCTTCTTTTGGGGGTGAGCCGGAGCATCCAATAGCCTTTATGTATAACTTTCTTCTTGTATAACTGTCCAATAAGACATCCAAATAAGAGTATTTTAATTTATAAAAATATATATTAAAATACTTAATATTATTTGTTTATTTTATCCTCCCTTTCCTGGGCTTAAAACTATACGGGGTTTTCTCGGGCCAGGGGATGAGTGCGGGAGATTTATGCTAAAGCTGAAAGCCTCTACCGGGAACGGGACGCGAACTTGTAATTATTTGATCAAATAATTTTCTATTCTAGGTTGCCGGGCAACGCAGTGCTTTGCACAGTCATTAGCCCACTCGGACACCCCGCCCCGATATGAAACGACTAAATACCGAAATCGCTCAGAAGAGGCGTAAGTTTATAAATAAGTTTAGCATTTACAATAGGACTAAGTTTGAAGAAGGATAGGCCCAAATATATAAATATATTCAACATATTTACTTTTTAATATTAATTTTCCTTTTCTTTTTTTTAAATTATACTTTAAAAAGTAAAGAGATCATCTAAAGTTATTGTATTAAATGTTTATATGACTTACTTGGGTAGCAGTTGGTAGAGTAACTCTTCACACTTCCTTTTCTCCTCGAGGTAGTCCGCAGTCCTCTCGTCCACCAAGGTCTCTAAGTTGTTGGCGTACTGCTCCATACGGGAGAGCAGGTTGTCCAGGATGTTATTGCTCTCATTGTCTCTGCAATATTGAAATATTGTTAGTTTATCAGAAAATCGAGGCTATGTAAGGAAATTACAACAATAATAAAAATAATATTGCAATATTAATGATCATTAAAAAGCAACATCTCAAAATAAATCTACTACAGTTTGATTAATGAGATAATTTTACTACTGCATCACTAAAATTATTCATCGAGATACAAAAGTTTGATTATGACGTAGAGCAAGTTTAATTCTACGTAATTATAATTAAATATCAGGAAACAATATTAGAGCCATGAGGTTGCAATCGTTAGAAGTTTTCCTCCACAAAGCGAGTACAAGTCGAACAAGAGAAGGGCTGATCAAGATCGGCCCCAATAAAGGTGGGAATGAATTAAAAGAGGTCAGATATTGTCCAAGGAAGGCACGCCTCGGTTAAATATGGATGTCGGAGCTAGCCCGAATTCCGGGCATGCCTTCTACAACGCCTCCGATATTTCTATCCCCACACATTGTTCCCAGGGCCTTCTTGATAAATAAAAAACGATAACAAAGCCATGGAACAAAAGCCGGTCACTGGGGAGGGAGGAGGAAAGGAGAGCTTTCCCTTAAGAATTTCCGTTATATATGGTACAACTTTGTTCCGATATCCAGGGGGACACTAATATATATCCTTAGAGCGGCACTTCAGTTTAAATTATTATTATTATTATTTTTATATTATGCTCTCATATTTTCTTCTCAATTCTCAAATATTGTATTTAATCAATTATTTTGCCACCAATTTAATTTTCTATCTGTCTTTAAAATTTAAAACTTACGACGCCTACTAATGTCTTACACTATTCCACTTCCCAACAGCTAACTCAGGTGTTGTCGGTACTTCTAACAGGTGTCAGTGAAAAAATAAAGGTAAAAATCCTACACTATATACATTATGATAATATAGATTCCTTTTCTCGACCTAAGAAGCGACGGATTTTGTTGAATGAGATTTAAAACGTAAGGGACTTTCGAGGGGGAAGTGACGAATTCAAATTTCGATACTTGAATTTATTCAAGAACTTCAATAAAATTCACTGGAAAAGTAACGAGATTTCTAAACTCAGATAGTTTCGAGTCGAGGCAGAATAAATTGTGTTTTGAAAAATTCGACACTGTCATCGATATCCCGATGTTTCATATTCGGGATAAAAATCAAATTTATAAAAAAATCTAGATCAAAGATATTGTAACTTTTGTCTTACTCCTTCATAAAAAAAAAAAAAAAAAATGGTATTGTGTCCTCATATCCTTAATGAAGTTGTTCATTATGACTTTACTCTCACATAATTAATAAACTAGATGAACAAACTTGTTCAAATAAAAAAAAAATAAAGAAACTGTAACTGTTCCTGCTACAGGTATTGGGGAACAAAAGAAAGAGGAAAGGAAGAAATAAAACTTTGTTGCCTTTGATGTGGGCCCGTGCTAAGGGATCTAAATAATGCCCGAGGTGCAAGCCTAAAGGTTTATGGCCCTCTAAAAGAATTCAACAATTCGTTCGAATTCATCCCATTATATGGGGAGTTCATCTCATATATTCTTTCATTGTTATCTTTAAGACATGTTGCAAGAGGAATAATGAAAGCTACAGAAAATATTTCATTTCTTTCTTTGTAGATTATCTCATATATTATTATCTCATATATTGTAGTTTATCTCATATATTCTTTCAGTGTTATCTTTAAGGCATGTTGCAAGGGGAATAATGAAAGCTACAGCAAATATTTCATTTATTTTTTTGTAGATCATAAGCTATTAGCTCCTGTAAAATAAAACAGTTTAAGTATTTTAAAATAGTTATAGTTATTATAATTCAATTCATAATATAATTAAATCGTAATATTTTTTTTTCACTAAGCAATTGTAGACGAACGTTATTTTTCCATTCAAATAATGTAGTTTTCAGCTGCAGGAATATATCATATCTTCATACACTATGAAATAAAAATGATACCTATTAATAATTTGCGAGTTCCAAATTTGAAGTAGAAATATGTTCTTCTTTTAGTTTCTAAAGATTACTGATTTTTGTTTGTACTTAATACAATATTTGAACATTATTATTTGATTTATTTATTAAGGGGGAAAACCTGGCAGTTGCGCGAGATCTCGCTCAAATCATATCCTTGTACAACCGTAGACCAAGAAACAGTGCTTTACCTAAATAGTATTGAACCCAAGACCCTTTATGGATTTTAGTGGTACAGGTTTTTTTTTATTATTTGATTTACTTAAGAATTAATTAAATCAAATTAAAACGGCTTAGAAGGTATTATTGAAAGGCCTGACATAGTATTTCTCATTTAAATGTATAGGTTGAAGTTTTGATAAGATTTTTATACTTCATTCAGCAATGCATACTAAATATTATTTTCACTGTCAAGAATAAAATATTTGAATCATTTTTTACCCTTTAATTGGATTTTTACTTCCTTTTTATTGAACCAATTTTAAAATAAATTTCGATTAAAGTAGATTTACATGAATAAATAAAAATTTGAAACCCATATAATTTGTTTGAACTTTCAAAATTCTATTTAGTGATAAAGAAATTAAAATGTTATTATTATGTTATTACCACTGATCCAGTATTTTCTAAAATAAAAACTGTTAGGAACAGAAAACATCTGTGGCGTATCTAGTGTGCAACGAAGTGGCTCTTCCCAGACCCAACTGACTCAGAAGGCCCCATAGCAACAAAAAATTCTGATTCTGACAGTCAGAATATGTTATTTTAATAATATATATAATATCTTATTTTTTTATTGTGTTAATTTTCTTTTGGTGAGTTTAATTATTGTTAATAATGAACTTAGCTAAAGAATAATAATTTATTAACGTGTCTGAGAATAATGTCTGGAAGAATATATATATACATATATCTATATATCTGAATATATATATGTATGTATATATATATGTATATATATATATATATATATATATATATATATATATATATATATTTTTTTTTTTTTTCTTTTTATTTACTTGATTTGGTTTGAAAAAATTGTTACTCTCGCCCATGAATCCAAAATTTTGGACAATATCTCTTAAAAAAACTACCTGATATCCTAGATATATTCATCACCTCCCAGATTTCCTCTTCCTAGATCAAAATAGAATCCCTTTATGACCTTTCATCAGATTATAGTCCAGTTCTGCTTTTATTGCATTCAAATCTCGTTCCTAAGACCTCACATCCGAAATTTATTACAGGACGAATAGACTGGGACAAGTTTCGTGACGATTTGGAAAATAAACTGGACATAAAAATTCCTCTTAAGACAAAACAAGACATTGACAAAGCCATAGAAAAACTCATTACATCAATAGCTATGATAACACATCCCTCAATAAAAACAATAACTCACTACATATTAAATTGTCATTACATATTCGAATCTTATTAAGAGGAAAACGCAGAGCAAGATCGAAATGGTATAGGACTAGATATCCTTCAGATAAAACTTGCTATACGGAATTGACTAACAAACTAAAAATAGAAATTAGAAAATTGAAAATTTAAAAATTACTTAACCTAACTGAAAATCATACAACGCAAAAAATCTTCTAAAGTTTAAGGACTTTAATCATTTACTATTAACAGAATTCCAAACCTAGTCCAATTCGGAAGAAAAATCCCAAATATTCGGTCAACGCCTCTTCCAAACCTTTAATCGACATCCTGATATTCAGAAGTGTTTTCGCATATGGATTAAAATATTTCAACAACTAAAAATCGTACCTGCCTAAAATACGTAAAAATGCGATGTTTAGGAAAATGTTCATCTTTCTTATAATGAGATGTTATTAAAAATTATACCTTAACATGACACCGTGTTAGTGAACCGGAAAGGAAAACAAAATTGTGTCAAAAAGCAAATGATAACGAGTTTTATTGAAGATAAGGATTAAAACATCTCAGAAATTAAAAATCGGACTTTTACACTGTAAACAATTAGCATTTCATATTCTCTGTAATAGGCTAATATTGAATATTGTGTCTTAATGCGAGAGACGAAAAAGAAAAATATCGTTGAAAACCAAATGATTTTTATGGAAGATGTCATTAAGATATCTCAGAAATTAAAAATCAAACCTGCATGTTATAAGCGAGGGAAATGTTCAGCACCTCATCCTCTTTATGATGGAATATTATTTATAATTGATATTTCATATTAATAATCTCCCCTTGTTGACGTTTTCACTCCTATCGTATGGTCTATAGAACACACCTTAATTTTTTTATTTTATTTTGGGATTCTCAAAAATAAACCTACAACTTAACTTATACAACCTGCTCAAGTTGCCTCCAAAAAATCTTTAAAAAAAAAAAAAAAAAAAAAAAAAAAAAAAAAAAAAAAAAAATGTTGTTAATGTTGTTAATACTATATAATTGTATATAAGTATGCTGTGTTTAAGGCAACCCAATGTAATTGGGCAGCACCCTTTTATGATAATAAAGTGATTCTCTCTGGAATTATTTTAAGAAAAATAGTGATAAACATACTGCATTATTCAGTTTCAAATGTTTAAGATTTTTATATAATTGTTTTTGGACTTATGATTTTACATTTTAATACTTTTTTTTTTATATCTCCCTTATAGTGATTGTGCCTCATTCATATAGCTCTAGTATTTTGTGCCATTAAGTGTGAAAAAGTTTATCATTTCTTAATAAATAGATATTTTTGTTTTTGTATAGCGAAAAACGCGAATGAGGAATATGAACAGTTTTTTAAAACGTTACATTTTATCTGAAATAAGCAGGAATTTAGAGATGAAACCTGAGTCGCCTGCATCTCTAGGAATCAGTGAGGCCAAATTTAAAGATATTTGTTGCAACATAAATTTGGTATGTTATTTCATATGTCAACATTAAGAAAACCATAAATAACTTTGAAAACGGGGATGCATTTAAAAATATCTATATTTATTAATTTATGAACAATAAATCGGAGAATTACCAAGAACGCATATAATACT